ATTTTTTCCAAAGATTGATGTAAATGACCCATAACTATTAAATGTTTTCAATCTATCCATATTTATTAAAGTGTTGCCATGTAAGGAACGCCTAAACTTAATAGGTTAAAGGGTTTTCATTTATAAGATGTATAGAAAAAAAATCTTCTTGTTAGTTAAAATTTGTTCTTACAAAATAGCTTTTATTAATATATTTGGGATTTTTGTACCCTTCCAAATGCCCTGGAGATAAGTTTATTAAAATTGACTGGTAGACTTAAAACAAAAAATCAAATTTTATATTTGTGAGATCATCCAAATCATGAGAAGAAAAATTCAGATTGGGTGACGTCATGTTTTTTATTTCCTAGTAATATTGCTGATCTGACATTTTTATTTAAAAAAAACAAACATCATACAATGGTAGAAGGATCACTAAGGAGTGTGATGTTTGATTTGGAAAATTAATGGACTGGCTTTGAAAAATAACCACATCCTCCAAAGTTTATCAGAAGAAACATTTGTCGTGTTTAACAGAGAGTTGAATAATGCTTACTTTAATAATATATAATAATATAATTATATATAGGGACATGCTTTTGTCAAAACGAAATTCCCTATTGCACATGGCAACGTATCACGGGATTTATTTTTAATAACAGCACTTTATTTTTTTGGAAGCCTCCATTTTCGAGAAACAGTAGAGGGGAGTCGCCTTCTATTTAATTTCCTTTTTTGTAGTTCGCATTCTAAAGGGAATTATTTCAAAGAAATGCTTTATTTGACAGCTCACTGTTTTAAGAACTTGGGCCCCTTCCAAGATACACAGCACGAAGCTCTAAACCTTTAGTGCATTCACTGAGACATTTTTTTTTTTCTCTTAAATGACTAAAATATTTGTACAAAGTTTTCTTTAAGCATAATGGACGTTTTATGACTTTATTATATCTGTTGCAAAAAAATATTGTGTTTACTACTGTAAATTAACGATCTATTAATAAAAATTACTGCCAATTACATGCGATGTATCATTAAGTAATGCCCACCGTTTAAGAAAGTAAAACTTCCTTTGAAAGCATGTTGATTCTGTGCATAGTAGGCAATCTCAAATTTTTAATGCAACACTTCACAGCAATCGACAAAAAAAGAGACTGCTCAAGATTAATTGACTTTAAGGGGAAGCAGTTGTGTGTGAATGTATTTGAACTTTTTATTATTTCCTGCTGATATTTCATTCCATTTTTAAACCATGTTCCACAGGGAAATGCTTATGAATTGGGAGACGGGGGGATCTCTCTCGCAGATTTGTTAGTATAACTTTATGCAAGTCCAGAAGCAAGTGGCCTATGTTTAAAGCCGGACTCTGAGGAATTAAAAAAGGAGCCCTTGCAGTGTGTACGTGGGGGGGGCTTAAGAGCAAATTCACACCAGCCGCACAAAATGCACAGCGGTTGGTATCCGGTGCCTGACACAGTGCCGAAGTGCTGATGTCCTTTTTGTGATATTTCATTAAGTTCTATAGGCCAGTGGGTTGGGGGTGGTTGTACTGGGTCGCATCTCACTGCTCTTAAAAATGCGGCATGCTGTACTTTATTTCAGTGCACACCAGTGCAGCACCTGTGCATTGCGGTGGTGTAAACCGAGCAAATTGCCTTGTCTTGCATTGGGGCTGTGCCGGAGACAACAGCCAACGCAGTACCAATGCATATGGTGTGAACCCACCCTAAATGCTTGTTTTTGCCTACAGTATTAGTAAAAAGCACATTTGCTTACCTCATCCCTCGCTCCTGCAGGCTCCTCCTTCCATGCACAACCTCATCTCTTCAGTGCTCCTAACAGCAGTGGCAGCAGTGACATAATTACGTTCAATGCAGGAGCATCAGTCCTGCACTGCAAGTAAGATGGAGAAGGCTCACCCACAAGTTGGAGGGTTGAAGAGAAGTGAGCACCAGCTGCAAGTGGAGCTAGGGATAAGGTAAGACATTTTTTTTCTCCTGGTACACTAGGCAAAAATGAGCATGCCAAAGGCCCACTCACATGTCGGATCATTGCAGCTATGACTTCATTAGGTTCAATGCAGGAGCATCAGTCCTGCACTGCAAGTGCCCCCAAGGCCCACCCACCAGCCGGAGCATTGAAGAGAAGAGATGAGCACTGAATGCAAGGGTAGCTAGGGATAAGGTAAGACATTTTTTTCCCCGGGTACCCTAGGCAAAAATGAGCATCCTGAAGGCCCACCCAAGGACCACAAGTCCTGCACTGCAAGTGAGATGCCGAAGGCTCACCCACCGGCCGGAGCGTTGAAGAGAAGAGGGGGAGCTAGGGATAAGGTAAGCAAAAATACTTTCTACTGGTACGCTAGGCAAAAATTAGCATTTAATCCTTGCAATAAGTCTTAAAATAATTAGATTTGGTGCTGCTTATGCGATTTCATTCTCATATAAATAGAAAGCGGCTTGATTTAATGCACAAGATGGTTTGATTTGGCACAGATTTGATGTTGAACCCATTGCATTGCATTCAAAAATCAATAGGAACTTATCATTTTGGAAATCATTTCCACCGTATGTCCCCCCACAGCTAAATGGCTTATACTTGAGCTAGATCCATTTTTGCGGAAATTGCTAACATAAGACCAATACATTTTTTTGGGGTTTTGCAGTTTAAATTATAAGTAAGAACTGTAAAAAATGTTGAATTATTCGGTAACTGCCATAGAAACATCGCGTAGAAATGGAAGACATGTCCCGGATCTTTTACGCATTTTACTTTGCAAAAATTTCGGCTGTCCTCGCTAAGAGATGGAGCATAGCATGACACAGGCTCTTCAAAAACGTTTCAGAATCCGACATATGTCTTAAAACATAAAAAATATTTTGGGTTGTTTAAATCTCCTCCAGTGTATACAAAGAAATGCCATTAAGATAAGAAACTGCAACATATAATTATTTTTCTTTCTATACAACACGTGACGTGGATCATCACTGCCTTGACTCAGCCCCCTGTCAAATGATGTGGCTTTTAAAGCCTCAGATCAACGGATATGTAGACATTCTTTCACTACATTTTTTTTTGCACAATCCTAGATATTTACATCTTTAATTCAACCAGGTGTCTAGTGCTTTTTTTTTTTTTATACAGTACATTACAGAGTGCTTTTTAAAGTTTTTGAGTTATCAGACAGTGACATATTTCAGCTATATGGCACTCATCATTGCGTAATCGTGAAATCTTTTCTTTTTTTTTAAAATCACAACATTACAGTTTGCTTAAGTGAACCATTAGGAAAAAAAAATCATATTTTTTTTTAAGACAGGAATAATTAGGAAAAAAAAATACAAACACATGATTGTCCGGAACACCGCAGCAATATCGGTTATGGTAGTCATTAAAAAAATGACAGTTGATCACAGCTTCATCAATGTATCGAGTGAACAAAACAAAAAAAGGAAGTTGTTTATGAATTTGATACTTTTAAAGCTGTAATCTGCAAGTGACAACCAAAATTTGTTTAACCTTATTTGGCACATGTAGTCATCTAACACCTTTTTAAACTGTACAGCACAAAACTGTATGACTCTGTTTTGGTCCTTCACTAAGTTTGTTTTATATTAAACATTTCACAAATATGAAATCTAATCAAAAATACTGTATTAGAAGAGAAACGAGAAACAGACCAGAGGGGGCAAATTACATCATATATACAGATTATTATTATTTTTTTTTTTAGACTAATTTTTAAATATTTTTGTATATCTATATAGCTACCAAAAAAGGAATGTTGAGTCTAAAATCCTCAGGGTCATATAAAATGACTGTACAAGCAGCTTTAAGTACTTTCAAGCTACATCAGATAATGACAGAAAAGTTTTTGTTTTCAAAATAATTTGAAAATGTACATTTTTTTTGTAAGTGCAGACATCAGTACAGAGTGAAAGCTACCTAGGTTCAATGTAATCTGGACCAAAACAATAACCACTATTTGTGTATATAATATATCTATAGATCTATATATATCTATATATATCTATCTATATATAGATATAGATAGATACATATATCTATATATATATCTATCTATATACATATATAGATAGATAGATATATATATATCTGTATATATATATATATATGTCTATATATAGATATACCTATATCTATATATATACGGCATATAAACTTAATCACTGGGATTCTACATGGTATGGTACAAAAAAGTCTGTCCAACTTTTTTGCTTTCCATTACCAAGTCGTCAAATTTGGGAAATGTCTCTGTGATGGGATATGGATTATATGATACAATATTAAAATTCTAAAACTTTTTTTTTTACTATATTGCATTAGGTCAAGTCTTTACCGTTTTTAATGTAAATGCAGTTGCCGTAGGAAAGTGTGTTCACACCTCTTAATTTAGCGTAGATGCGATTTCTCAGCTGAAGTCGTTAATTTGATTTAAAAATATATATATAGATATATTTTGTTTTTCATACAGTCACTCAATGTCAGGCACATAGGTGAACTTTTGCTTAACAAGTCGAGAGATATTATTGGGATTTGATATTTTATTTAACTACAGCTTTGCACTACAAAGGAATTTTGTACAGCACCATGAAAAGTTACACCCGTTATGTGGGTATCTAAAGTTTAAGGTTTTGTTTTTTTTGCCAACTAAAATATTCCTAGTGGTTTTTTAGATATACAGATTATGCATATACATGTATTTTAATTTGAAAAAAAAGGAAATTAAAAACAAGACCGGTGTGATTTGTGTACAGTATGACCTGACCCAACAGAGAGGTTACAATTTTGAGAGGACCCCGCCAAAAATGTTCAAAATTTGACAGAACAGTTGCAAAAAATCAAAGCAATTGGCAATTTGCGTCCTAAAGACCTAGATGTCCCTGTTGATGCCTTCGCTTTATCTTCTTTTTTCTTTAAAAAAAAAAAAAGGGCGACATTGCAACATTTTGTGTAAGCCTCATTAGCATTGATGATGATGTATTTATTTTTCTTTATTTATTTTACAAATGGTTCATAGGGTTAAAAGTCCCAGATTCTGATGCTGCTCCTGCCATGTTTAACCAAGCGTCCAGGGAATTGTGGGAAGAAGTATGAAGTGAAGCATTTTCAGAAAGTGATAACATCATTGCATAAGCCTGTGGAGGGGAACAAAAAGATACATATATGACAGGAAATAGAATAAAATCTGGATTACACGTTTATTGATAATGCACTTTTGGGATGGAGTTTTATGCTCTCCACTCACAGTCCTAAAATCATGGTGGTTGGTTAACTGGCTTGTGATTAAATTGGCCTTTCAATGGGTCTGTCTCTTAGGGAAGGGCCCTGGGGCCATGCTAAAAAAATATGAAACATAATTTTGTGTTTAAAAGTCAGAATTCTGAGTTTGAAAGTCAGAATTCTGAGTTTGAAAGTCAGAATTCTGTGTTTAAAAGTCAGAATTCTGAGTTTGAAAGTCAGAATTCTGAGGTTGAAAGTCAGAATTCTGAGGTTGAAAGTCAGAATTCTGTGTTTAAAAGTCAGAATTCTGAGCTTAAAAGTCAGAATTCTGACTTTTAAACACAGAATTTTGTCTTTCAAACACAGAATTCTGACTTTGAAACACAAAATTATGTTTCATATTTTTTTGTTTAGCATGGCCCCAGGGTTCTTCCGTAGTCTCTGAAGGTTCTCATTTATCCAGGTCATAAATCAAGGCAGCTGGACTCGCTGTATTTTTCTAGATGACGTTTCGCTGATTTTCCGACTAGCTAGAACCTATGAATTGAAAAACTGGTCGGATGACCAGCGAAATGTCTTCCAAAAAATACATCAAGTCCAGTTGCCTTGATTATTTTTTTTTTCTTTTGTAAATATATCAACAATATTGGATTTAAAGTCATGCGGGGCTCATGGACTGTCAATGACAGTTCTGTACTCCGTGTATCCCCTTTGGAACATGTTGGTACAATTATGTTCAAAATTATACAAAATAAACAATTGCAGACTCTTATCCTGCCCTGATATAGATAAAAGTTTAGTAACCTTTACTCTGAGCAAGTCAAGGTAACGTCACAAATCTTTATCTGCATACTTGGCTTAGTAATTCAGTTCAACCTGATATACTAAAGGGCCAGAGAACTTCACTCTAAAAAAAAAAATTTTCACTTTGCTGATGGAGTACGAGGTTGCATGCACTTCCTGTCAAATCCATCCATATCCAAGCAAGAACTTTGCGTTTTTGTATTTCTATTACACATGGTTTGGAATACAATGTGAACTTATCTTAACCATATTGAATAAAGTGACACTAAATTTAGGAGTTAAATCTTAAAAATACATTCAAGTACCTTTACTATTAACAACATTGAGAGGAATTTATCAAAACGGGAGCATACAAAATCTGGAGCAGATGTGCATGGCAACCAATCGGCTTCTCTCTTTAGTTTGGTCAGTTAAGATTTAAACATGAAAGAGAGAAGCTGATTGGTTGCCATGCACATCTGCTCCAGATTTTTTATGGTCCAGTACACTCTGCTGTAGATCCTCCAATCATCCCTGAATTGGTGCTGACACTGTCCTTCCTTCTGGGGGGTGACTACTTTTGTACCCCATGGTCCCTGTGTGTGTTGTAAAGCAGTCACCGCTCCAAGCTCACTCCTGTGATGGACTACAATCTCAATACAAATGATTAAAGGAGAACTATATGCTTTTCACTCACCTCATAGTTCTAGCCGACCTGTGACAATGAGACTGTCACAGGTCGGCTCAGTAGATCGGGAGGTGAGCGAACACATACAGCTCTCTGCCATGACAGGTTAGGGGCTGGATTCCCCCCTCCCCGCTGACTGGTGGAATGGACGGGGGAGGGGGCGGGGACAGCTGGCTCTGCCTAGCTAAAGGCAGAGCCAGCTGTACCCGCCCCCTCCCCCGTCCATTCCACCAGTCAGCGGGGAGGGGGGAATCCAGCCCCTAACCTGTCATGGCAGAGAGCTGTATGTGTTCGCTCACCTCCCGATCTACTGAGCCGACCTGTGACAGTCTCATTGTCACAGGTCGGCTAGAACTATGAGGTGAGTGAAAAGCATATAGTTCTCCTTTAATCATTTGTATTGAGATTGTAGTCCATCACAGGAGTGAGCTTGGAGCGGTGACTGCTTTACAACACACACAGGGACCATGGGGAACAATAGTAGCCCCCTTCAGAAGGAAGGACAGTGTCAGCAGCTATTCAGAGATGATTGGAGGATCTACAGCCGAGTGATACACAAATAAGATACATTTTTGTTAATTGTTAAGGTACTTGAATGTATTTTTAAGAATTAACTCCTGAGTTTAGTGTCACTTTAAGATAACCGAAGAGTCACTTTGAAAAGGGAATATCTTCTTATGTTTTCATAAATTAACCCAAAAGAATTAAAGAGGATCATCATGGAAACCAGATGACCAGTATTTTGAAAAGGAGAGGTCATGTTTCTCTTATCACAAATTTGATAGATTCTGTCTATTTTGCCTGTTCCTAGCAATGCCATTACTCTTTAAATTGCCATGAGCGCACTTTTAGTATCTGTCTACTAAACAGAAATTTATAGTTGTATTAGATTAACAACTATGCACTCCTAAACCCAGCAACTAAAGAACATTTGTTATTTACACATCCAAAACCAAAAATATTACCAATGTAGCACCAAGCATATTGTGTTTTGTTAGGGAACACATTTTTGTTTTAGCCCTCAGTACAGTTTTGTCTGCTACAAATACTGTGATACCGTTTAAATAGATTGAAGACTATGCTCTCTTAAACCCAGACCCCGAGGAACATGCTTTATATACAGCCAATAACAAGAACATTAACAATGTAAAAATACACTTCAAGCATATTGTGTAATAATAATATTGTGTGTAGACACAATACCAGCATATTGTGTGTTTGGTATGAGATGTATTATCTTTTCTTTCTCATGACATAGTACAAGTTAAGGTTTATTTAATTGAAATTTTTAAGGTTTCTTGTTTTAAATTCACATGTAATTCACCATTGAAGACAGACAGTTAGTACATTGAGCAAAATTAGCCGACACGTAACAGAAACATGCAAATGATTTGCTTTGAAACAGAAGACAAGACAAAGTTGCAAAACCAGCATTTTACTTTCTTGTCGACTCTGAAAAGTTGCAGTGTGAAAATCAAGTGACTTGTGTCACCAAACGTCTGCAATTCCCCTAATTTTGGATGCAGGTTTTTCTCCTTTAAATGGCGGTAATGCTTTTCCACCAGAGCCAATTCTTCTGTCTATAAGGCTGCTATGCAAGAATTGGGTCACTCATTACAATATGAAAATCAAATGTGGTTATTTGATAATTTATTTTCATTAGGTGATTAATGTGATGTCAAAAATAACCAAACTGGGTAAACCCTTTTATAATTTTCAAAGCAAATTCTAATTAATTCGGGCTTAATCCATCTGGGTCTAGATGGACCAAAAAAAAAATAGGATGTTATTTGCAATTTTTGTAATTTTTTTTACATTTGGGATTTTGGAAGTGAAGAATAAAAAAATATATAATTTTTTTATCTTTTTACTGCAGAGTATATATAAACAACACTATACTGTATTAATTGAAGCTGTATAAATATAGTTCGCGAGGCAAGCTTTGTAAAATAAGTCTGTAGTCTTTACCTACCTGGGTTTTTGCCTGCCTGTACAGTGATTCTTTTAATGCCTCAGAGTCTAAGGTGGAATTAAACACATCTTTTGCGTCAAATGCTTCCTCTGCTGCTTTTCGAAGGTCCAGCCCCTTCCCAAAATTCGGAATTTGCTCCACATCTAACAGACGGGCATCTTCCTCCTCAATACACCTGTACCAATGACCATGGGGAGGGGAAGGGGATGACCCTTCATTAGCTGTTCCACCCTTCATTCAGGCTAGCCAATGGTGCAAATTTGCTACAGGATCTGGTGCTAGGCATGCACATGTAATGCGATTTACAGACACAGGCCACATGCACGGAAAGAGACAGTCAGTGATGGGTAAAGGTCATAAGACTCTACGTGGAATAAATGGACAAGTTGACGGTGGTTTTTCACTTTCAAAGTTTTTTAAATGATTGGCTTGTACACTGTTTTGTGCAGACAGTTAATGCTTTATTTTTGCTATTCCCTCTGGCTTTATGCATCGTACACCGATTGCCATTGTGTGCAGTGCAAAGATGCCCTTGCCATAGCCAGATCTACTCATTGGAGACAAAAGCCGCAGTCGTATCGACTCATTACAGCAAAAGGACCGCAGCCATATCTACTCATTACAAATACAGACCACTTGCTTCCCCTCAGCAGCCCTTAAAGCCCTACTGAACCTTCTGTTTAAATACAGATGCATAAAAAGGAGAGCAAAGTCTTAGAGAAGGACCCTTGCATTATGTGTGGAAGCAGTAGTCTCTCTGCAGTTTTGACACACACCCTGCTTGAATTAGAGTTAGATCTCTCTAACAAGCAAAGCTCATGCTCCTTGATGATTGGAGAGCTCTAGCTCTAGTTCATCAAAGGGTGCATGGAACCTCTACAGAGGGACCATTGCTTCCACACAATGTGTACAAGCTTGCTCCCGTGAGGGACTATAATTTCAATACAAACTAGTAAACTAAACTTGAGATTGTAGTCCATCCCAGGAGTGAGCTTAGAGCTGTGGCTACCTTACAACACACACACAGGGACCATGGGGAATAAAAGTAGCCCCACCCTCCAGAAGGAAGGACAGTGTCAGCACCAATTCAGAGATGATTTGAGGATCTACAGCCGAGTGATACATGAATAAGATACATTTTTGTTAATAGTTGAGGTACTTGAATGTATTTTTAAGATTTAACTCCCGAGTTTAGTGTCACTTTAATCATAGCTCAGCATCTCTGAATTAAATAGCCATGACTGAATAGAGAAAATTCTAACACAAATGTTGTGTACAAACCAACAAAAAAAACCTTCTCTGAATGTGGAAAACCACTTACAGACAAAGACAGCCACACATGAAAATGACTGGATACAGTTAACATATTGGATGGTACAGAATACAGATATTGTTAATATTATATTGTTTTTCATGCATTGCTAGAAGATGAGAACTACTATATGTGTAGTAACTAAGAAAGAATAGCCAACATATGGTTCATTTCCTCCCTGGAGAGTTTGCCTATAGCGGCAACTAACGAAACTAAGGTCATGTAGTGGATTAGTAAAACAGACTGTATTCAAATCTTGTGGCCTCACATCCACAATGGTTTTGGAATTTCATATACAAAGGAATTACAAACCTAACTCTATAGCAACATTTTATTCAAATATATTTTTTAGTTATAGTGTATGTAAAGCCCAAATGTCTTCTTTCTTTTTTTTTATGTTGGAGAGCATGTGGAAGTGTTAAAACCCCCTTTTACAGTACATCATACACCCATTGCCATGGTGTTCAGTGCAAGTATGCCTTTGCCAAAGCCATAGGTACTAAGAGAATTACCTTCTCTGTTATTACTCAAGACCATTGTTTCTAGTACAGAAGGAAATTCAAAATTTTAGAGGTGAGGTTGGGAAAGTGTGGGGACACCTGTTCTGTCTAAGAAAACTGTCTAAGAAGGAACTTCCCTTCACTTTGGAGATGTTTCCTCATACATCATGTCTGTGAAAGGAAGCAAAGGTAAATCTCCCCGAAAGGACACAGAAAAGCAAAAAGCCTCACATGGGGCCTACTTTGATTAAAAATAACTGAAATGTTTTGGCATTAAAAACACTTTGAAGCTCACCCAATAGATGAGTAGTGTATGAAGTAACAATATGGTTAAAAAGCATACACCAAAAAGTAATATGACGTGCCTTGGATATCCTTCAGATGGAGCTCCTATGTTGGCTACAATTGGGTTGATTAACGAAAGGCAAATAGGCTGTTCACTTCTGAAGGGAATTTTCCGTTACCTAAGTGAATGAGGTGAAGCTCTTCTGACTTCCATCATCCACGTCCATCATCTTTGGCAAAGCAAAGATACTGTTTTTTTATTTTCCTTGCACACAAGTTATTGCTTATCGCTGTATTCACTGAGCTAAGTGCAAAGTGAAAATCACCTTTCAAAGTCAAATCAACCCCACTGTCTTCAATGAATGAACTGACATCTATCAAACTGAGTCATTCAAAAATCCTAAAGCTTTGGTCCAGAGGAAGGCAAAACAAATCCTCCTCATGCAACAAAGGCATCAAATTGTCCAACTTAGTCCAAGCTCTGCTCTTCCATGCCTAAGCACCATCCCTGCCATTTGACAGCCCAATACCAGAGCCTAAACAGACAACAGATTGTTTGCTATTGCTGTTAAATTGCTGTGGTCAGGCCTACCATCAAGCTGGACAAGGTTGACAAGCCAAGGTCAACACCATGGAAAAAGTGACAGCACATGGGGTCCTCAATAGCTATTTGAAATATTTAGAATGTGCACCTCTTTGTCCCTTTTCCAAGATTAACTTTTATTCTTTCAATCTAATTATTTATCATTTTACTTCTTAATCTAGGTTTAAGCACCAGAGGTTCATCTCTACTTCTACTTTCCCCGGAAGTCTGAAAAAGCCTTTTTTTTAATGTTGAACTATGTATTTGAAATGTTTCTCAATGAAAACCATGAGCAATGACAAGCAATTACCGTACATCATTATAAAAGAATGTTAACTTTTAAACTTTTCTAGATGTCATGATGTGAAATTGATATGCAGCTACTGGGTGCTTAAATGACTGTTAGGCAACCTTTGCTTCTATTAGTATAGGTGCAATGGCAATGTAACATAGAAATGGGTCACATACATCAAACAAGACATCAAGGAGCTTTAAAGAGAAAACTGACCTTCTTGTGTGATCAAAGCTCATATTAAGGGATGTGGGTTCTTCATCTTCCTCATCCTCCTCATATACTTCCTGGGTCTCCATTGAGGGGGAAACCGTTTCATCTTGTGACTTCCCTGTTAGACTTCCATCTTCATAGTCTTCTTCTAACTCATCTTCCTCATCCTCATCTACATCTTCTGGTTTCTGGTTGACTAGGCCACAACACTTGGAACTGCTATCGATGTCTTGAATTTCTGTTCTAAAATACCGGAATTGGGAGACAACAAAACAATTTGAAGTAATAATCATGTCTCACAAAATATGATATGTTCCTTAGCAGCTCAATCCTGTATAAGACAAAGAACGATAGCCAATGTTGAGTGTGGTAGTCCTACGGATTGAAAAATGTTTTTCAGTTTCAATTGTGTATCTAAAGCCAAAATGTTTCTTTTATAATAGTTAGAACCTGTTTTTTTTTTCAACTGTGTCCCATGGTCCAAATGAGGCCATGGGATGCCACTAGGCGCTGCATAATGCTTCCTGTGGTGGGTCAAATTGAGCCAATCCCAGGTTCCCAGACATCTTATGGCTTCTACTCCAGCAACTAGCCATGGTTCGAGAGCTTTTCTGGACTGAACACCGACCATGATCCTGGGCCACAGATAAGCACTTTTATAGTATGCTCTTGTAAGTGCATTTCCCTCATATACAGTATATTTGTCGGGATCAATGCTGTCACACTATCAGTGCTTCATCTGTCAGTTTTTGAATAAATTGGTATCACTCTCTGGACTATTTTTACACTGAGAGCTGAAAGAGGGTGTTAGTGTCCTGAAGATTGGAGTCACATCCAACCCTTCAACACTATATTTATTTTCAGGTTTGAATATTGACATTGCACTCTAGATAACAATTTTTTTTGGCTTAAGAGTTTTCCCTTCACTGCCTGTCCCATAGAAAAACAGGAAGCGTAAGGAAATCTCTCCACAGTGATATAAATCCACTCTTAGACAGTTCTCACTTTAACATAAGAAAAAGTTACAAAGAGAAAGTCCAATGTTTCTATGGCTCTCCGGGGGGAATCAGGGTGTCGTTCGCTGGTGTGCAGCTCCTGGTAAGTACAGACCGCGGGTGTCCAACGTGTGTGCTAAGAAACAAGAAAGGGAAACCGAAGTGCCACAACCTTTTAACATGTATGCTTTGCAGTGCATTGTTGCATTGTTGAAGATTTTTTGGGGGCCACTTAGCAATGTATGGAAGCTTCCGCAAAAAACACATAAACAATATACGTGCATGTGTGTGTGAAACCGGTCTAATTTTTTGTACATTTTGAGCTCAGTGTCTCAAATATGAAATACATTCACAATTTAATGCCCATTTTTTTCTCCTGTACTTCCCTGGGTGATTGTACCATGCGTACCTGGAGTACATCTTTGTCAAAAAACATATACAAATGTTGGCTTTAGACATACTTTAAACTTTCTTTCTCATAATTCAGCAGCATTAACACAGACTGCAAACCACATGACTTATCTCATCTGTTACATTTTAACTCTTTTCCACCATTGTCATATTAAAGTATATTTCCACTTTTGCAGCCAAATTTGAGAAAACCCCTCCACATGTTCGTTATGTGTTCCTATTCACACCGCATACTGAAAAATAACTTTTATAAATCATTTTTTTTTACCTTTTAGATGTTTTGTTAAATCAGGCTAGATGGCTGATTCCAGTTTTTTCTCAGTCCTTTCACAGTGGTCTGTCCTTATAGAAAGACTTGGGACTGAAATTTGAGGATTGTGTCTATCTAATAAGCTTCATTAACAGTACAATGGTCAAGCCACCTTAGGCCCCTCACTGCTCACAGCCCCTCCTAACATTTCAAAGAAATAGCAGCTAGAAGAAATTTTTACGCTTAAAACCCTAACCCAAGTAAAAACAATTTAAACTTCAAGAAGCATTCCTTATTTTTTCTTAAGCTTATGCTATGTGAATGGAAACGTGTAACAAATATAAAAGAGGTTTCATCCCAATTTGGCTGCGAAAGTGGAAATACACTTTAAGATCTTCCATTAAAACCAAGTACTGAGTACTTCCTTCAGCAGAATACTGAGACCTTCTCATTTTGTGCTGAACTTCATCTGAAATCCCCTTACAACAATAATATCAGAAAAGGGTCATGAGTACTTAACAAGGTCTACCCAGGTCAACCTAATTCAAGTGGCCTGCGGGTTTTTAATGTTGACTTTTCATCCATCATTTTTGACTTATATTATTAACAACTATGAAATGGGAAAAAAAAAGAAAACAACAAATCTTGCAGGTAAAAGAAAAAAAGGTAGCGAGATAAAATAAATAAAAAAACACTAAAGAAAGAAATTGAGAACGGAAAAAAGAAAGAAAGAAGGAAAGAAAAGTAATAAAATCATGGAAGACGCTTCAGCTAGTAATCCTTCAATAAATAATTTTGTACAATTTTATACCATTTATCAGTTAAAATTGCTTTAAATAATAAATATCTACACAAGTCTATCTGTTTCGTGCAGCTTTTTAGGAGACAAAAAAGTCCTTAATAACATTGTTTTTTATTGCAGTGCCTTTTTCCTATATGGTCTTTTCCGAGTCCTGGATCATGTCACTTAATCTAAACACATAAGTGGCATGTTTGTCTTTGACTGCTCCGCTCAGTTATTCTTTATGATAAATGCCCACATTTGATTCCCTCTCAGGAATAGTTATGCCACTCTGAAATGGATTCCTTTTGTCTATCTTTATCCCGCAGCAGGAAAGGTTGAATGATCTCCAGTTTCCTTCAGGAAATGCCACACGAAGTCTATTTCTTAAGTATGCAACCTAATTCTTTCACACCCTCTTCCCCAAGACACAAACTCCATAAACTGGTGATTAATGGGGCAGACACAAAGCACAAGAACCATACCGTGTTGTGAAATTACACAGCCATTTTAGATAAGGCCATATGCCTGTGAATTTATGGCCTGGTTGAGAAACAGACTTGTAGTCTATGTGCCTTCTTGCTGGCACCCTTGATGGAGTGTCAACAGTCTTTACCATTTCACTGCCAAGCCATTTAATATGAATTTAAAAGCAGCAGTGTTGCTTCAAAAAAATAAATAAAATGCTATAAAGTGGCTCTTGCAATGGAATACTCTCGATACTCTCTTCTCCAGCAGGCAGAGAGTCTGAACTCCACTGTCTTCAAGGGCTAAAACCTCCTCGGTCTTCACATCCTACACACTTCTGGTCCCCCACTATGCTCAATGGTTCTTCCCGCTTGCCTCATTGTCACTATTATATCCTGAAGTGCAGGTACTTGCCTAGAAGAAATTCTGCTGGAGGCTGTAGCACTTGAGTTTAGCCCACTGACCAGAGAGGCCCCTATGTAAAGTCTTCTACTGCAGGAGCATCTTTAAATATTTGTTCTGAAAGTTTCGGTAACTTTTAAAGTATACCTGAGGCCATTTTCTTTTCAGAAAGAGTAGGGATTTGTTAAAATCCCTGAAAGGCTTCCCTTTTGCCATTGGGGATGTGAAAGACCACCAAAAATTAAAATGAAGGAAAATCCAAAATTTGGAGTTGTCACCAGAAGAGAACAGGAATAATGGGGAAATCTTCTATTGGGGTCAATGGAAATAATCCATTGGGATGACAACTGTCTCAAAGGGGATTTTTCTCACTTCCTATTGGATACACAGGACAGGAAGTAAAGGGAAATCCCCCCAATGGGATCCAGACAACAAAAAAAATAATCTGACAGCGGTTTTTACCCTTCCCTGCTGTATCCAAAGCTAAAAAGCCTTTAGCTCTACGTACTCTTTAAATCTTTAGCTATCTCTGCCTGCATAAAGTTTGCCCCCCCGTGTTTATCACTCTGTTGTGCTATATTGTATTTCTAAAATCAAAAGGTACAGGGTACTGCTAGGTTCCAGGAATGTTCCATGTATATGTTTTTATGTTTGTGTATGGTCATGACAAAGACAATAGATTAAGCTTTTTTGGGGAAGGGAGAGATGTTGATTCCATATAACTGAAAGAACGAAAAGTTGACAAACACTTAACTACATTTCCTAAAAACTATCCATTCTTAAATACTTAAATCAACAAGTCATTTCAATGCAACAGGCCCTCTTGCTCTGCAGCAATTAATTAAATCTGCAAAAGTATCACCTAAAATAAAGGTGCAGGCTAACAATAATAATGATAATAATAATAATAATAATGTTAAAACCAGACTTTCTCTTATAAATTAGATTATATCTGGAACCCCCAGATCAGCGATCGGCATCGTCTTGAGAAACCTATTATGGGGCAAGACTCCCGCTAACAGTGACAATTTTTCAATAAGCTCATTTTCCATCTGGCCAGTCCACAAGCGGTTAAATTTCCCATCTGCTAGCTTGAATAAACAATAGGAGCTACAAAAATTGGATGGCGATTACATGGCCCGGGCTGTCAGCATCTCCGAATGCCATTTATCACCCGGCCAGACAGACAGAAAACAAACGTCATTTTGATAGCCTCTATTGCCGAACTGTCCTGGCCACATTTTCAGTATGTGTGGGAATTCAAACTGAACTACACCACCGCCCCCCCTCCTTTTCCCGTTTGTTTACTCAGCTCACTAATGAGATTCATTGGGGAATAACCTGTTAAATGTGCTGCAGATTCTTTCATTACGGCTTTTGTTCATTAGCTGCCCCCATGAATTATGCCAGCGTATGTTGTGCTATTTTATTTAGGAGGATTTTTTTTATCTATCTAAAAATACTCATAGATACAGCTTCCAATTGCAATCTACTTGGAGGGACAGTCTGGCTTTTGAACGTCAAATGTATCTGTCTTTCCAAATCGTTCCTCTCTCAGGTATAGGCCCATTTAAATCAAGGTATTATTTAAATTACCAAATGTGCTTATATCTGCTTTTAAAGTAGCCAACGATTATATTTTATAGTATTGGATAGCATGTGGAAAGGTTAGAAACTCTGTCAGGTTTGTCTTTGTACCTGTTGTGATGATTTATGATCACTATTTGTCCTGGTGATCATTGTCCACAAATTTATAGTTGTCCTTTATTCGGGAGAAGGGCAGATATCTAGCAATGGGGGTATCAGTTGTAGTGACTTCTGTCACGGGTGGGACCTGGTTCAGATCTTATCAAGGAGAGCTTGTTTAAAATGTTTGCAAACCAAACATGGCAATTTGCACATGGTTGGGTATTCTTTGCAAAGTGAAATTGTGCCACATTCATGAAGCTAAGGAAAAAGTTCCACTGCAAAGTGTGAATTCCCTTGCAAAGTGAATGGCCTGTGTGCTTTTAGTAAATTAACCCTCTTACCTTCTTCTTTAAAGTGACACTAAACTAAGGAGTAAAATCTTAAAAATGCATTAAAGTACCTTAACCATTAACACAAATGTATCTTATTTGTGTATCACTCGGCTGTAGATCCTCAAATCATCTCTGAATTGGTGCTGACACTGTCCTTCCTTCTGGAGGGGGGCTACTTTTGTCCCCCATGGTCCCTGTGTGTGTTGTAAAGTAGACACCGCTCCAAGCTCACTCCCATGATGGACTACAATCTCAGTACAAATGAGTAAACTAAACATGAAATTGTAGTCCATCCCGGGAGTGAGCTTGGAGCGGTGACTACGTTACAACACACACAGGGACCATGGGGAACAAAAGTAGCCACCCTCCAGAAGGAAGGACGTGTCAGCACCAATTCAGAGATGATTGGAGGATCTACAGCCAAGTGATACACAAATAAGATACATGTTTGTTAATAGTTGAAGTACTTCAATGCATTTTTAAGATTTAACTCCCGAGTTTAGTGCCACTTTAACATGAACAGCTTTATTTCCACTTTGATTTTAGCAACAGTGTTGCTTTGAGTGATTTGTATTTTTGCATAATGCTTGTTTTTTTCCCCCCAATGCCGTCTGCAAATTCATTTTAAAAATTTGTTGACGGTCCTTATGAACAGAATTGAGGCAAGGGTGTATCTACTGTATATCCAAATATATTGGGAATATAGCACCAGCTACATAAACAACAAACAGTTTTAAATAGCAAAAATAGCAGATGGCGGTTGACAAAAACTCTCCATGAGAGCTGCGTATTGATAAATGACCTCCAACACACAAAAAAACAAACCTAATGCTAATAGTCCCTTTAACCCAACAGCCCGGGGAATCAGCTAAACAGCACAAGTTTGAGCGTAGTGATGAAAACCTCCTACACCTTCCAATTTCTACATAAACAACTGCAGGCTCGCAGTCCCAGATGGGAGAAGGAGATCCAGAGAGCAGTGCCATGCCTCTTGAAAGCATGATTGAGTTTCGAAAAAAGGGAGCCCTTGTCTTATTAGAATGATTAATGCAACGGTCTCCTTTTAATATACCAGCCACTTAATTTCAGCCTAATGATGGTCTAGCTCAGTCACCGTTTCACACACACAGACATTTCCATCCTTCACACTCAGTAAATCTTTCTTACTTAGATATTAATGCTGAAAGTGTGTGTGTGTAATTTTTTTTTTATTTTTTTTTTCCAGCCAACACCAGTGCCAAATTCAAAAACAAGAACGAGGGGCAATAGTTCACAATACAAAAAGCCAAAGATGCCTATAAAGTTGTAACTCTTGTTGTGATGTATGAACAATATGATATATGGCTGGTCACAGGTCTATGAATTCAAGTGTATGTAAACCCAAAACAACTTTTGTTAATTCGTTGCAAAGTTTCTTCCCTGTTGCAGGCTGACAACGCTAAGCCATTGCCTGTCAGTTAGCAGCAGTGTTGTCAGCCTGCCGAGTGCGTTCTTACACTTGGACTGTTAGGCTGCCTATCTGGTGTATCAGACAGACAGGTAAAGGAGCGCACACAGCAGGCTGACAACATTGCTGCTAACTGGGAGGCAGAAGCTTAGCGTTGTCTCCCTGCAACAGGAAGAACTGTTATTTGTTGGATCTCCAGGGAAGAAACTTGCAACAGATTTACAAAAAATTATTTACTTAAGTAAACTGCATAAAATGAGAAAAGACGTTAAACATATTGAAAAATTGATCAGGGGCTTACAGAGCAAATCAATTTGAAAATATTCAATGCAGTGGTCAAACTAATCCTGCATAGGCAAATAGCATTTCTATATTTTATTTTATATTTATATATATTTATATATTTGCTAGAGGGATTGCTGCACAATTCATGTATATTCACAAGGAGAGAGCGAGAGTGAGAGATAGATACACAGACAGACAGACAGACAGACAGATAGATAGATAGATAGATAGATAGATAGATAGATAGATAGATAGATACCGTAGAATCCAGCTGGCAGTATTAGCACTGGGAACGTTGGTCGCACATAGAAAGCTTATACAACTGTTTTAAATTCAATAAGGTCCCCAAACTTTCTGAATGTTGACGGTGCAATAAACAGCAGAATAAATTCTTTGAATGTGACATTTGTGGAATGGGCTTTAGCTCATGAGGCCCCCCGGGGGTAATGGCATATTGCACTCATTTACATTGGGATATAGGTGTCTGCTATGTTGCTAATAGAAGCACTTTGTCCCTGCCGCTTTGCTATTGATCGGCGGAGGAATCAGAGGCTCTATGACACATTCTGAGTAATGGCTCGGAGGGAGGAATTTATGGTGTACTTCATTAATCAGGTTGTAGGAGCTCTCTATAGAGAAGAGGATCCTTAACCTTATGGGGCTTGTTCATCAACAGGAGAGCCGATATGTTTTACCATCTCTGTTGGCGAAAGACAAAGCAAGCTTCGGGTACGAGTGGCACCACGACTGGGGACGAGGAGGCTTCTGTGTCACATGGATCCATGTGATACATTGTGCAGTGTGGCGGAGGCTCAAAACGGCAACAAATGTAGCCTTTGATCCCCATCTGTTGCTTCTCCTTTTTGTTGTAAAGCCTCAGGTTTGTTTTGTGTTATATGTTGTCTATATTATATATACAGATCACTCCACCAGTAGGGTAACTATAGTCATAGCAGCCTAGGTGGCTGCTATGGGGCCTGGAGGGGGACCCCATTAGGTTGTTGAGGCAAATAAACATAGAACATGTGAAGATATTACAGTACTGGTTGGAGTGGTTGCAGTTGACGGCAATTGTAATCCCCTGCAGTCTACAAAGTCTACAATGCACAAAAGGCTTCAGATGCACAAGAGGAGTCTTTGAGATTCTTGGCATTGTTACTCACAGCTCAGCAAGAGGTCATCAAGGGGGCCCCCATCACATTTTTACTATGGGGCCCTGTGATCTGTAGTTATGGTCCTGCACTCCACCATAGTTTCTTTTTAGCCCTGGTAATTAGTTTTTTCGACTTCCAAAAGTCTAACTAAAATGCATTCGTCAAAATAAAAATAAATGATAATATTGTTGCCGTTTTAAGATACATTTTATTCCTTTCTATTTGCGGTGCTTGTGACCAGCAAAATGTATGGCAGTGGAATCTGTTACCGCCATCTGTAACAGAGGCAATGAATGCAATAAATTCACCTGTTCGAGGCAAGGCAACAGCAGATCAAACACAAGTTTAACTTGGCCTTTCAAACCGGCTCCCCATTAATGGCTGCCGAAAAACCAAAAGCATCTGCAGCTGATTAGTTGTGTCCAGTTCCTTCGGGATTCGTCTGCAGCACTTTTTTTTAACTGGAGCTCATTCTTAATGCATGTGCACAAAACACGTCCGCTCCTTCTGTAACATTGAGGGTGGAACCTTCTGAGTATTTCCCCCCCCCCACTAAAGTGAATGTAGGGGGGAGAATCAATAAATGTGCTTTTCTGGTGGTATTGGAATTCAAAAGGTCCTTGGCCAAATTCAAAAAAGCCCTGTTGCCAGTTTCAGTATCTTTACTGACACATTTGTGTCACAATTTTTACGCCACACTTTATAGACTGCACACTAAGAATCAGTCCCTGCCCTCAAGGAGCTTACAATCTAAGGTCCCTAACGCACACGCATACAGGGCCAATTTAGACAGGAGCCAATTAACCTTCCAGCATGTCTTTAGAATATGGGAGGAAACCGGAGTACCCAGAGGAAATCCACACAAGTACAGGGAGAACATGCAAACTCCTTGGAAATAGTGTCCTGACCAGGATATATTTGTCACATTGTTGCCAGCTCTAGACTACAGGACCACACCTGTCTATGTTATGGAGAAAAGGATAGGGGGAATGTCTCTGTAATCCCATCCTAAGGTGGAAACGCTTCTCCTCCAAAGATACAGTACAGTGAGTAAGAGTTATCAGGAAGTGTGTTCCTGGCAGGATCACCAGGCTTGAAAGAAGAAAAATAATGCGACCACCACATCTAAGGACTAGTAAGCTGCAACATATAACATTTTTGTTTTTGGGTTTAGCTTTTTTGGTGGCTTGCATTGATTAACATGAAAAGGTTAACGTTTAATGTGTTATTATTGGCTATGTTCACAGTCTTAAAATAAAGCCATGGCCTTGCTCTACCCAACAGGACTTGTCTCGTGTCATTTCTTGGCAAGGTCCTTCTTAACGTGAGTAATGTTATTACTTATCCTATTGCAGTGTTTTATATACATATTTTGGCTGTTATTGTTGCCCTATGGGTCCTCGGCAGTCAGGTTGTAGGAGGGTACGTGCCAATAAATTAAAGATATCTGAATGTGGGAAACACCTCCTAACAGGGAACATCAGAACATCAATAACACCACTCTCTTTTCTATAGTGAAGTCCCATTATTTGATTTATGGTTTGCACCTGGTGGTCTGTCAACCAAGTTCCAGCCTAAGAAACGTCGGCGTAGAACTGGCAACCTACCGCAACACAGCTGGCTCAGAGCAGCAGGGGCCCGCTTTTATTTAACTTATCATCGGTGCACATCATATTTCCTATTAGAGAGCACATTGCCTGATTTAGCACAATCACCCCCCCTTCCACCCCCCGAATGAGATACAGTGACATAATACGATTTTCTCATAGCGTCTCATTATTTATTCACGGTTCTGCCGTGCCAAAATATCTGTGGATCACTGAGGAAATGAGGTTAACGCCGCGCACCAAGGCGGTATCTCATAACAGATGTGACTTTTACAAGAAGAAATGTATAAAAAAAAAAAAACTTTTATAAGTTAACTTTTTTAATTCACCTTTTTTCTGCTAGACTTGAAGCTTGGTTTAAATCGCTATTTGCAATAAAGTTTCGGATTTCCGAGAAATAGGAATCTTCTTTCTCGTCTAGAAGTGCATGGTTTTCAGATTCTGAATTGGGGGAGGAGGCGCTGTTTCCGTGGTGGTTTCCCATAACTCCCGAGTGCTGACTCACTAGATGGGAATAAAAAGCAGGAAAAGTTTAGAACAGTCATTAGTCATTAAGTCTCACGTCTCATCCACTCTATGTTCAAGAGTCATAGATAAAAAAAAAAAAATGAGAATATTTGCTTGGCCGAAAAAAAAAAAAAAGTTGAGGTAACATTTCCTGTAGCCCAGGAGTCCTTAACCTTTTTACAAATATAGAACCCCAATGGATTGCCCAATAGGTCCCCATTCACCAGACTGTTGGAATCACTATCATCACCTATAATGTACTATTTGGCAACAGAAGGACCAGGTTGGTGTTTTCTTTAAATATAGAGATAAAACAGAACAACTGAAAGAAAATCATAGGGATCTACGTGATCCATGCCTAATGTTTTACAGAGAATCCTCTTTAATTTTTCTGAAATTCATCAGAGGTCCATTACCATACCCCCATCATTTGGTTCCCATACCCCCAACGAGTATGATTGCCATTGGTTCAGAACCCCTACTCCAAGTTATGAACACATTTGGGCACTGTGTCAGTCTACGTGATCCCTGCCTAATATTTTGCAGGGAATCCTGTTTATATTTCTTACATTCTTCAGAGGTTCTTTAACATACCCCAGATATAACCCAGATTTAGGAACTGTTTCAATTTACCTGTTCCCTGCCCAAATTTTTTTATCTTTTTGGCCACATTGTTAATAATATATTACACCTTCATTGATGCCACATAGATCACCATTTCCTAAGCTACATGCTCAAGCCATATAAGCGACCAGAAAGGGTTAGAAGGACACCAATTACCATACATGACTTTATATTGGTCAGTGCCCTCACAAATTCCAGTGTAAATCCCATAATGGAGGACAGAAGGCTACAAGATGAAAAATGTAAGTACATGCATTCCTGCTAATGGAATTCTTCCAACTCTTCCAATCTCCCCCGATGTCACATAACTGTCACATGACTTAATAAATAGAACTGTGATTAAAATATATATCCTATGTGATTAAAATCTATATACTGTCAACTTGACAGTGTCTACAAGCAGGAGTGTCAGGTATCCTGTAGATATTGCACCCATCTCATGATATCATTGTATGTATGATTTGAAGTCTTCTACTTTTTCTTCTTCTTCTTCTTCCTCCTATTATTATTATTATTATTATTATAATACCATCATAACTGCAGGACTTCTAGGAAGAGCCTAGAAATCTACCAATACTGGAACGCCAACATCTTCAACAAAATAAATCACAGTACTTTGTGCATATTTGTTCTCATTCTCATAATTTACCTGGAACATTTTCATGTTCATGTTTTTTGAGGTGTCGATCCAGGTTGGTCTGCTGGCCGAAACATCTATTACACAAGTGGCATTTGAACGGTTTCTCTTTGTTGTGTATGTTCCGTACATGCCGCTGAAGGTTAGAGGAGATGCTAAAAGACCGGTCACAATATTTACATCTGCAGACATGAAGAAGAAAATGGATTTAGAGGAGATGTCAATGAGTGACAGAATGGTTTGATACTGTTGGAAAACAGAACGTTGACCTATACGCCAAATACTGGTGGTAATGCCAAGCGAACAACGTTTGCCCAGCTTTAAGCTGGGTCGAAGGTTTATAAATAAGCCCCTTAATATTTGGGCAACCTTACAGTGGACATGTAGCTGTGAAGTAATGTAGCAGTTGGGTAGAGAAAATATGTCCCTTATTTTGGGGTTGACAGATCTCTGGCCAGATAACCTGAAGCCCTACATGAGTTAACCTCAGATTCTGGTACCACTAAGCCCCACCTATTGATTATTACTTATATATGGCAGCTTAGATTGTGGAAGAGTTTGATACCACTTACAGTAGTTTTCAAAAGAATTGAATCTGTCAACTAACTTTTCACCAGTTAGGCTGCTAGCTCAGCCATGGTATCTGGCACATAACATGGAAGTACATGAGATGACTAAATAAGGACTTAAAGTGGACCTGTATTATACATTACACTAACGGTATAATCTTTCAGAAAAGCTTCACCGTTTATTATTAAAAATCTGTTCTAGAGTTCCAGTCCAGCAACATTGTCTAGGATGAGGTGATGTCATTAGTCTGCTGCAGGAAGGTGAAAGGATTTCCCCAGTGTCCCCCCCACCCAGTGATCAGACTATACATTTTGTTTATCACAGGCATTTATATAGGTCCAATGATGTATGTAGTGCTTTACATAAAACACACTCAAGAGTCCCTGTCCTCGAGGAGCTTATAACCTAAGGTCCCTATCTCACATGCATACATACAGGGCTGATCTAGACAGGAGCCAATTTACCTTCCAACATGCCTTCTGGAGTGTGGGAGGAAACCCATGCAAGCACATGGAGAACATGCAAACTCTATGCTGCTGACTAAGGTTTGAACTGGGGACTCCCCGTGCTGCAAGGCAGAAGTGCTAACCACTACGCCACTGTGCTACATTGCAACCTTGTAGCAAGTTGCAGGCTGAGGGATTGTAGCAGGTGGACTTATCTGTGCCAGACTTTTGAGAACACATGACTTTTGAGAACAGATTTACATGACAGTGGGCCAGGTTCTCAACAGATGCTGACCCTAGATGCCTAAACAAAGATGGCCCCTTCTTTCCGAAGAGAAAAGCAGATGAAGACACTGTCATGCGGTGTGCTGTGTGAAAGATAAGGGGTGCATTTCTAAAAGTTCATAGCGGGGCAGATGCCAATCCATGGTACTGGTGCCCCTAGATTGTGTGGACTATTATAGGAATTTACTATATACTTGTTAGCGCCTTCAAGAGGTGTTAGTGCCAAGGGGGGGTATTTCAGCAAGAGTCAGAGCTGTCAGCCGCTTCAATGTTTCAACATATTCCCCACAATAATTGTGGAACTTTTCCTTTTTTTCCACAATTTGACCAGAGCACCCTCCCTTTCTCCATTACACCATGTGACCTGGCAGACCCACACCGGCCCCCACAAAGTGGTCAGCTCCACATCTGCCGTCTCGTGTTCCCCGCCAATGAAAAAAATGGCATATTTTTCATCAGAAAATTAAGTAAAAATAATCTCCAGACTGTAACATAAATAGAATGAAAAGCAGAGGCACAACACGCGGGAACGCTTTTGGCAGGTAACACGGCCAAAAATATGATATTTTTGTTAAAGCAGGGGGAGATTTAGGGTGGGGGGTTAGACGACCGGGGTCCTCTATACCCCACACAAAGTTCACACTTGCTCCGACACATAAAATATGGGGATAATGATTAATTCCCGTCAGTTTATTCAAATCATTCACTCCGCTCGGGTTTTGTTTGCATTAACGGTGAGAAACACATACAGGGCTTTATAAAACTGACAGGCCGGCTTTTGCTGCTCGGCTTAAAATCATGTTGCGGACAAATTAATGCTGCCTGGCCTTGATATTTTATTTTTGCTACCTAAAATCGAGACAGCTCGAGGTGTAGATGTGTCACCTAATAAGTTTAAAGCCTTTGAAATGTTCCAAGTTACGAAAGCTCTACTCCAGGATAAGCAAATATTGTCTAAATACAAGAGCCATGTGTATTCTTCCTTGAATCTTGGAGAGCTTTGTGCATTTCTTCCAGATCTGTGCAGTAAAAAGGGGGTGAAACTTTGTGCAATAAGACCGCTCACTGCTTCTCTCTCTCCTTGTGCATGGTGACTGGTCTTGTCTCCTGTAATAAAGACCTCCTGTAATAAAGACCAGTCACTGCTGCTCTCTCCTTGTGCAGGGTGACTGGTCTTGTCTCCGCCCCCTCCTGTAGTTTTCTACAGGCAGTCTGTAGTGGGCGGGGCCTGCTGGGTCCTTCCTACAGCTCTGCTGTCTGCACAGGCTATGTGCTGCACAGTGATGGTGCACACAAAGTGGATTAATATTATGCAGTTGGGCATTCATCTTCACACCATGCATACAGGTTTATTAAACTCAGAAAAATTAGCTTTTAACCTACAAACTTTTTTTGCTCTGTGATTCATATGACTGTTGTCACCAGAAAAGGAAGTATGGGAAGATCTCCTAGAAAATATGTTTATATGTTTAGAGGACACTGTCAACAACCCAATCGCCTTTAGGGTTCCTTTCAATCAGAAAATGAAAAACGGATTACATGTAAACTATAGGTGCCATTTATACATAACAGAAAGCAGTTGGAAAGCTTTGCTCTTCTTAGTTCTCTCTACCTGTAGGGTTGTTCCCCTGTGTGGGTCCTGAGATGTCTTGTCAGATTTGCTGATCGTGGGAAGATTTTACCGCAGTACCTAATAAAAAGTGCAAAAGAGATAAGCGTGGACACCAGTAAAAAAAAAAGAAATCATTTATAATGATCACTGCCTAGTTTTCTCTGTAGCCAATCCTTACTTCTGTAATTGTCCTCTGTGCTGTACACATTCTATAACCCAAAGAGCGTGACACCATGTTCTAAGTATTAAACTATTTCTTTATGTGGTCACTGCCCCACTTCCTGACACAGGCATTAACTATAGATCTAGGTGAGTCTATTCTTCACCCAGGAACTTAACTGAAACCCACATTCCTTCAATTCATACCTGCAACCGGATCCCTATTGGATATTCTCCTTGGAAATATGGGCGGCTACCCGCAAAATAACTCTACCTACCTCCTGCCACAACCCTGAACTACAGGCCTGGGTGGGTCTACTCTTCATACAGGAACCCAACTCAAACCCACATTCATTCTATTCAAACCTGCAACGGAATCCCTATCAGAAATATGGGTGGGTACCCACAAAATACATCAACCTAAACTGATATCAGGATTCTACATCCACAGACAGAAACATTTATAATTGTCTTATAAAGGATCAAATCAAAAATAGCCATTGGTTCAGCCCAGGGGGCATCTAACAGTTTGAAATTACCTGCAAGTATAACGTTCTTTTCCTTTCCGTAAGATTGAATCTGAAAGCGTTGGGGGCGGGGAGCGAAAGTTGAAAGGATGGTGCGGGAGGGGCTGTAAGGAGCTTCCGGTGTCAGCCTTCATGTTGGCAAAACTTTCCAGCTTTTCCGTCATGGTCTCGATGGCTGACATCTAGATGAAGTCAAGCAAATCTGTAAGTGAAGCCCTGAAGCCTCCATATATCTACTGGGGGCAGCTGTGTTATCTAATGGAGGCTGATTTACTGTTACAAAGTTAGGAACTAACTACATTGTTGCCATATTTTTGGATGAGTTATGGGGTGGTGAAACATGTATGAGGCACATTCAGATGATCAAGCTACAAAGATTCTCACGTGACTGGAATATGGAACCCACAAGGCTAAAGTTCCCAGGAAAACTGAGAGAACTCTATCTAGTGAAAGTATGAAAATGGCGGTACATTTCACGTTCCTCCTGCTGCAGAAGCGTGTGTACTGTCCTCTCCAAGGAAGAACATTTTGTAGGACATAAAGGGCCAAGAGAAATGGCTAGTCGCTTAGTTGATACATACTTACGTTCTCATGTTATGACGCTACCATCATATATTCAGGATACAATGGACCTTTTGAGAACTTTGGATAATATAGTTGTTCCCCAAAATTCGTGGTTAGTGACAACTGATATTGAAGCCTTATATTGTAGTATCCCCCATCCCCCCATTCCAAAAACATTAGTTGCCTTCATATAACTATCTGAGAAAGAATAACTAGACAGCAGGAATATGCTCTCTGTGTCTGCATTTCAAAGCTTTGACTTCACTTCCTGGTGACCAGACAGGACGTGAGGAGAAATCTCCCCAAGGGGAGGGGCATAGACAGAAATAAAAACCTTTCAAAGGTCTGGATATGAGGTGCCTTATCTTGAGTATCATGGTTTGATATCCATCAACTGTATCTGGTTGGTAGAGCCTAGTGGCTCCCCCAAAGGTAAAAGGTTCTAACCCTTCTCTACTTTATCTAAAACAAATCATATTTGGATACAGTTGGCTTTTATTCATTATTGCACGAGGACCCAAATAAACAAAAGAAAAAGGGGGATGGTTCATGCACGGTGATACAGTATTTGTAAGTAATTGGCTTGAGCTGCAATTAAAAAACAAAACATTTTTCCAATATGTGGTGTGTTAGGTGAGAATGGAAGGGGCAGGCCCTAAAGCTGGCCGTGGATTACACGTTGCATCGTACGGAGGGACCCATTCCATTTTCCACTCTCCTTCTTGCAAAACTGCATCACTGAGAGGTGAAACTGAAAAAATGTCAGTTTGAACAGCGGCCAAGGAAGGAGCCGAGGAGCCAGTGAGCGAGCGGAAAGCCAGAGGAAACCATACATCAAATAGTAGATGCTCTATTGTACAGCCAGCTCTGACCTTTTGCACGTTTACAATACATTAAACCAGGCTCTGGGGACAAACGCGGCCCAGACATTGTTTTAAAAAATATATCGTTATTAAAAAAGCTGTTGTAATTACCAAAAATAAATTATAGCAACCTGCCAGCCATTCCTGGATTCAAATATAGTAATTAGATATAAAAGAGGTTGAAGTCAGCGGATTTATGCCCTACAGGACATATGAAGATGTGAAAATAAAATGAAGCACCTGCCCTTATAATCGATCAACAATAGAGGAGCCAAACGTATTTTATAGTAGAAAGGTCTGCAGATATGCTGCACTCCAAACCGACAGCCTGAACATGAACGAAGCAATGCTTACACCATCCTGGTCATGTGATGACATCTCTTGTAACGCAGGGAAAACAAAGGCTTTCTGTGCTTAGACATATTTAAAGAACGGACATGTTTTAAAAGTACAATTGTCCTTTTAGGGCAGATAAGATGCAATTCTTGTCATTTTAGCTCTAATATTTCTTTATATCCATATTAGCAAAATCACTGGACAGTACAACCGTGGCGAGAAGGGACTAAAGGTATCAAAATGTCCTCCAACTGAATTAGCATATAGTACAGTAAAGACTTCTTAGAACAGAAGGTATTCTTATGTCTCATATCATCACGTATTCCAAAAAGGAAAGGATTATTCCTCATTACAGGCCAGTGGGGCGGAGTCATGCAAATCATTCCTTTCTGGAATATGTGATAGAATGAGACATGTGAATACCTTCTGTAGTAAGACGGCTTTACAGTGCTATGCAGGGCTGTCTCTATGATGAGTGCAGCCTAAGGCTGTTGCCTCAGGCAGCATCTCTTTGGGTCTTATGGGGGGCGTCAGGCAGAACAGCATGGCCGCTCTTCTGCACAATGTTTCCAGTGGCTCCTTTCCTGCCAGAGCACCCCCCCTCCACGGTTGCTAAGAGGCGGGCGGGAAGATGTGTAAGGGCCATACACATCTCCCTGCCCATCTCTTAGCAACCTGGGATCCTCTGGCCACTGTTCCGCTCAGCTCCTGGGAACCAGTGATGTCACTGCCCAGGAGCTGGGTGGGACGCCAGCCAGAGCCGAAGCCAGAGCTGAGCGGTAAGATGATGCAGAGGCATACTAACCCCCCATCTCCCCCTGTTAGCATGCACCACTGACACCTCCTGCCTCAGGTGGCAAAAAGGCTAAGGATGCCCCTGGTGCTAAGCACTGCACCAGTTGGAGGGCTTATTAATTCCAGTAGCCCCTCCTTACCATAACCCGTGTTTATGGTAAGAAGGTGATGGTCATAAGAAGGCTATGGCAATAATGTCTTGTTGGGTCCCAAGTCTTACTCCATAGAAGACATGGTTTCCATACACTGCATTCACCATGGCCAACATGATAACAGCTTTATACAGTTTCAAACAGATGTGTCTATAATATTTTATTTTATTTATTTATTACAAGTATTTATATAGCGCCGACAATTTACGCAGCACTTTACATAGTTACACATTCACATCAGTCCCTACCCTCAAGGAGCTTACAATCTAAGGTCCCTATCTCACATAGAGGGCCAACTTAGAGAGGAGCCAATTAACCTACCAGCATGTCTTTGAAGTGTGGGAGGAAACCAGAGTACCCAGAGGAAACCCACGCAAGCACAGGGAGAACATGCAAACTCCTTGCAGATAGTGACCCTGGCTGGGATTCAAACCAGGGACTCTAAGTGCTGCAAGGCAGAAGCACTAACCACTACGCCACTGTGCTGCACTTGCTATATTTGCACTATACACCAGCAGTTCTGGATGTGCATCTAGCTGAGGGCATAAAGCAATGAAATGTTTGTGTGTTCCCCGGTTCCTGATTCACCTTTCTGCAGCCTCAGTCGTGGCACCAAAGCAAAAGGGGCAGGATATGTGGAAATGGTCCTCGGGACCATAGGCTGTTCTTTAATATACTAAGTTGCACAAGTTTCTATCTTTTACTGCGGCTCAAATATATTTATATATGAAAAACAATAAAAAAAATTTAAGAAAAAGAATAATTTGTTGCCAATAGCAGCCAATCAGGTGCAATTTTTTTCAAAGGCTACACTAATTTCTTAAAAAAAAGAAATGGACATAATTAGGCAGACGCAGTGCGTGTTGATGCCTACCTATAGGTGGCACTCATATGTCTGGATATCGATAGGCTCCTGAATCTTCTCAGGCCCTGTCTGCTGGTATTAGCAGACGGCTTTGTCATATCTACTCCTTTTACAAGTCGATCTCAGCACTATTCTAAGCCAGACAAACACAGGATGTTTCTGGCGGGTCCGCTGCCATTATCCAGTCTTTTCGGAGGAAAATCACTGGAAGTTATTAACTAGACGTTGGTGGGGAAGCAGAACAATGAGGGGTCTATGTGAAGGAGTGAGGTGGGAAAAGTTCTCAAACTTCTAAGGAAAAATGAAGAATGTCACTGCTGCTGAGCAGTTATCTCATTAAAGGGATGTTGCATTTAAAGGGTAGCTCCACTTTTGTTTAAGATAAAGAATTTAAATGATACCAATATCTTCTGCACATGCCTTTCTGTAATTCAGATCTCCATGGCGAGCTGAATGGAGAAAAAGCTGTCAGCTTCAGACTTGAAGCTGACAGCTTTTTCCTCCATAATTCTAGGTGAGGCTCTGCCTCCCCTGTCTCCCCTGACCGCACGTCCCTGGATTGGGCAGTCAGAATTCTGATCTTTCCCTTCAGCAAGAACACGTAACCAAATGCCTATGATTCTGGTCATGTGACCAGGACTGTTACTCTTTATCTATAGTAAGTTTCAGTTTACAGAGACAGTAAAACTATTAACATGGTTTTAAGATAACATTTCAGTGTAGGTCCCCTTTAATGGCCAGCTGGTCCATAGTCAAGACATAACCACATTTCAGATCTGTTTACCTGGGGGTGAAAGAGTAGAGGGGATGGTCGTAAGTACTTGTCCTTTAGTGCCCCCACAGGGTCTGTCACCTTCCGCTTTTCCACCCTGCTGGACAACAACACAGAGGGTTACGTACCCCAAAGAAGACAACAACATCATCATCAAAATGCCAACAATGTCTTAACATGAATCTGGAAATAAAACTGCAACACAAATGCAACCCCCTAAGGGCAGCCACCTGATGTGTCCGAACATACCTGGAGTTGTAAAGAAAACTACTATGTGGCCCAGGATCCCCAAACCAAAGTGTACCATGTATGTAATCTTCAACTTAGGTGAGATATGTATCGCTTTCACCTCCCATTGTTTCTTTTCATTCAATCCAGATGACCAAACTTGGAGCATATACATTTTCTGGGAGCCCTACCTTTCCCTACCAGCTAAATATTTTACAACATTTTGGTCCCTAAAATTGTTATGACATTAAAGTGTATCTAAAGCCAAATCTTTTTTGTTGCTTTTTTAGTGTCCTGGAGATTCTACAGGAAGTATCTACAGAGCGAGAGCAACCCTTTGCCTAATTAGACAGTTGTCAACAGGACTGGGGTTCCACTTGGATCATTTCCACTCAATCCCTGTTCCAGTGCCAGCTATAACATTTAGGATTTTGGATTCACCATCATGCTCTTGTCAAATGGTCACCAGGACAAAGATACATTTTAATCTCCCCAGCAATTTAAACTTAAAAAAAAAAAAAAGTGTTGGCTTTAGATATAATTAAAACGTCATCCTCCCATACCCTACTCCAATTTGAGTAACCATATGCACTTGGTCCAATACTATTATTATTTTGAACTGCCTGCCTGACTTGAAATCTAGAAATCAACTCACCAAACTCACCAAACCTCTGCTAGTCAGACCATAATTCCTTAGGAACTAGTGCTACTGATATAACATGAGGTGTAACACATATTCTAGCCTGTCTGTCCCACAGTCAAGGCATTATCTGCTTATAACCTATAATTCATAATTTAAAGGGGATAATATAGAACCCAGCAACTGTGAGAAGGGAGGGGCACTTTAACAACAACATTTTTATTTTTCCAAGCAAACCCCTTCAAACAGATACACCTAAAAAGAACCTATAGCCAAACATAAAGACCCATTCATATTAATGCTCACCCTCAATGCTGTAAAGAGAATGATAATCCAAGACCTGAAATTAGTTATTTTCTTATCATCAGGGGAATGGTCATGCATCATGTGACCAGTGCCAAGTTACTGCTTAGGCAGACCCACTGATTGGCTGACCCTACCTGAACATTAGCCCTCCAAGATCCTCTAGCAAAGATCATGTTACCTATCTAATAGCAAAAGCTAAATCTCTCCATTTGAATGTACAGATTACTGCAATAAGATACCCAAGCTTGTTTAATAAAGCCACGGCACAAAGTTTAGTAGCCCACAGCAACTATTCAGAACTTATATAACATAATATATACTTATAAAACAGTGCTAGCTCTCAGCAACCAATCATATTACTTTATTATATCTAGATTTGTGATCACATGAATGGAAGAACCAGCTTAACCTTTGTTCCTGTAAAATAAAAACTCATACTGACATGACATATGTAGGATGCAATTGCTGACCTGCTTCTGAGAATGCTAGTTGCCTTGCTGTTTCTAGCTTCAGTACTCTAGTCACTGGCCTGCAATAATCATGTAGCAGCCTGGGTTGATACTTCTGATCTGCTCACATGTTCTGGGTCAATAGTAAAGCCAATAGATCAGCATGGCAGGTAGGCAGCTATCAGTTTCAGAATTAAAGCGTGTGTCCAGCCAAGACTTTATTTTTAGTTTGAGATAGAGTGGGGAAGAACCCCTGTTATCTGGGGTTTCGTTAGAGAGATTTCCCCTCACTTCCTGTCCTGTTGAGAACATTTTACTGGACAGGAAGTGAAGAAAAATGTCCAACAGCAACAAACACAGAAATGAAAATGCTTTTCTTAAGTAGAGTAGAGAAGGGCTACAATGCCCTTGTCAGATTTGTACTGCTGTCTACTATTCTGTATGTTTGGCACTAGGGATGCACAGATAACGTTTTTTCGGTATCGAGTACGAGTACCGATAGTTTGCTTTTGGTACTCATCGATACCGAGTACCGGTGCTTCTGCTGCCATGGAGCCAGTTTCCCGGGTAATCTGATTGCCAGAGAAGCTGGCTCAATGTTGTCTAACCTGCTTGATTGAGCTTGGCCGGGAAACTGGCTTCCCAGCCAATCAGCATTGATTCCCGGGCAATCTGGAAGACTTCCTCTGTCCGGAAGTTCCGGTATCGGGGAAGGTATCAGAGCATTTGGAGTACTCGCCCAAATACCCGGTATCGGCACCAATACCGATACTAGTATTGGTATAACTGCATCCCCATTTGGCCCCATTTTGTAAATCTATTGCAAAGTTTCCTACCTAGATATCCTGCCAGTAACATTACTTCCTGTTGCAGGTTGACAATGCAATTAGCAGCAGCATTGTCAGTCTGATGTGTGAGCTCCTTCAGTTGGCTGTTGGGCTGTCTATCAGGTAAATTAGACAGACAACCCTTGCACCGGCTGACAGAGCTCCTTCAAGGCAGTGGCTTAGTATTCTCAGCCTGCAACAGGAAGTGTTCTGAGATATTGCAAAGATTCACAGAAATGGTTTAGTTAAGAACACTGCATACAGTGAATCATGATGCCAAAAAACCTGAAAATTTGATTTTGGGTTTATTCTTCAATCCAGAGACTCTTATGCACTATCTAATTTCATTATTAAACTGATACAGATTCAGTCACTCTTTTCTCAAGGGAATCTTCCCTTTAAAACTTTATATTTTACAATGTAAAAAATGAATACACTTCAGGGTGATTAATGCAGGGCCTCATCGTTTTGAGGCAGGCTGACTGGTGTGATGAATGGAAGGTCAGCTTAATTGATACATGATCTATGTCATTTGGATGAGGACATTTCCTGTAATTTCGTGAGTTAGCATCCTGTGTCTTCTCTCTGGAGCCTCAGCTCTTCCAAGAAAGTGAACTAACTAGAACTTCCTTCGATTCGAAGCTTAGTTTTCCCTTAAACACCGCACCAGGCTATATATAGTAGGTAGAGAGTGTACAGACATAAAAACAATAACAGTCACCAGTGGAGCTAAGCCAAAAATGCACGCCTGAGATTGCCTAGTGGTTGCAGCATTTATATGGTGTTTTAGTGGAATACAGTGTGAAATTGTTCCTTCAAAGGCTATTCCACTATTCCATGGTCAAAAGTATGTGGACGTCCCTCCAAATGATTATGTTCAGGTGTTTCCAGTGAAAGGTACTGTTAATACTGCAGCATACAAAGACATTTTAGGTAATTGTGCACTACCAACCATGTGACCACAGTTCTGGGAATTCCCTTTTCTGTTCCAGCATGACTGTACCCCTGTGCACAAAGTGAGCTCATTAAAGACATGGTGTGATGAGTCTGGTGTAGAGGAATTCAAGTGGCCTGTACACAGCACTTACCTCAACACTATTTAATACCTTTGGGATGAACTGCAATGCCCATTAGGAATCAGGTCTTCTCATCCAACATCACTACATGACCTCAGAAATGTTCTTTTGGCTGAGTGGGCACTAATTCCCTCAGACACCCTCCACAATCTTGTAGAAAGCAGATGTCCACAGATGGTCAGATGTCCACGAACATATGCTTCCCGTATTTCTCGCTGAGTCTAACAGGTTTGATTAAATCCCCCACCCTCCCCCAACATGAACTTACCTTTCCGTTAATTCTCTGCCACTCAGCTTGAGAAGCATGTGAATCATGTCATATGATAGCACTGGGCTAATCAGAGCTGTCACAAGGGAGTCTATAGCCCTGTATAAGATATAGCTCCAGCAACTTTCAGCTTACACAGGACTTTCTTTTCACCCCCTGTGGCTGCAGGGGAGTGAAAAGAAGGCAAGTATGTGCTGCCGGGGAGGGCTATGTTAAAGTGAGTCTCTCGCTTTGCCCTGAGAAGGGAAAGAAAAGGTTTAATTTACAGAGCAACTACTGGAACACAAAACACTTGCCGTTTGTATTGCTTTCTGTAACCAGCGATTTGTTGGGTAGAAGGGCAGAAGTGTGGAGGGACCTCCACTTTTCAACTGAAATTCTCTAGATTGTAGTATGGAAGTGTACTGCTCATTACTTCTACTTATTAATCTCCCTGCTGGACTTCTTTAACAGGTTGCCTCCAAATATAAATTAAAGATTCTGATATTTGTTTTATAATAAAGTATATTAATGAGCATAGATAGATACAACATTCAAGCACATCACTTCCAAGCAATGATACCCAACTCCATGTAATGAACGCATTCCAAACTTGAAACCCTCAATAGTGTCTCAGAGCTAATTGATTGAGGTCTAAGTGTCTGAAAGTAGAGGCATTTCCCATGGCAATCAATAACATTCCAGCTCAATAATAAGTTATATGTAATTTATTGCTACAATAGATCTTCCCACCCCTTGCTCTAATTTTATATATATATATATATATATATATA